TGTTTAACTTTTTAACCCCTCTGTAGCTGACAATTCAGTTGCTAACCTTCATTGTACCATCCATCATCTGGACGTGAATCCAATCATTGTCATTCAATCCTTCAGTACTCTATCTCTATACTTATACTTATACGGCTCGTCTTCACTCATGCGCGAGCACCATTCGCTTCTGTCTATGGCGATCGCCATCCAAGGTAGACTCGGAATTCGACGAAGATGGCGATGTGAGGAGCTGCTCCAGCTGCTTCCTTCGCTGATCGACAATCACATCTCGCTATCTCGTAGCAAGCCTACTCTTAGGTCGTGAAGATCCTACGGGAGCCCACTTGACTGTACTCCTTGTCCACCAGTCACCATCCCGTCTCATTACACGACCGGCCAAACAAAATTCTGCGTTTTCCATGTATTCCACTAGGATCGCGAAGCCGAGACATTCGGGGCATATCGGAGTCCAGCTCGATATCGAGCGAGCCGGTTGGACCTCTAAAGACATTGCTCGAGCGCTCTGTCACATGTGCTTAAAGACCTTGATGTAGATGCACTGGTCACCCAAGTCTCCGACCCGTAACAGAGCGCAGGAAAAACTGTGGAATCGAACAGACTAGCGCGAAGTTACTGGTCAGCTAGATGGTTTGTGACTGACTTTTTTCAGAGGTCGGGAGGCTGACCACGCTACTTTCTGTCGTCTCACCAGTTCTCCCCTCATGTCGCTGTCCATATTCATGGAACGCCTGAGATAAACGTGAGCCGAGGTCCCTTTGATGATGATCGACGGGTGCACCGTCGATCTCAATTTGGCTTCCGTTAGTTCAAGCATTCTCATGAACTGCATCTTTGTTTGGTTGATCCGAGAAGACTCCTCGTCGCACCCGAGTGGAGGTATAATATGCATTCAAGGAAGCTTGGCCTATTCAACACAAGTGAGGCGATCCCGAACCAGTTAGTGCATCATAGTCTTCGGTCGGGTCACTGCCGTCATATCTTGACAAATCGTCATTAAGCACACCGTCCTATATACCATGCTTCGAGCTAGTTGGGTGATGCTGGAGGTCTTTTCCAGCTTGTGACTGAATCTGATGTTAGCGAAAAGAAGTCGATGATCAGAACCACTGCAGAAGTTGGTGCCACACCGACATCTAGTGAGCACCACTTTTTATTTGTTAATATGTGGTCCAGTTCAGCATGAGTTGTACCATTTGGAGAATACCGTGTTCAGCGGCGATGTTCCTTCTTCTCGAAGAAGGAACTGTCATGAAAGAGTTTAGCCGCGGACAGAAGTCCAGCTAGGCGGTTTCCATTCTCGTTCCTGTCCCCATTCCGACCTTCCACATTCTGTACTCCTCCTCTTGTGCTTCGCCAAGCCTAGCGTTGATATCCACAACAACGAATTTGTAGGACTTTTCGTTGTGGATGATCTCCTCAAGTAGAAACGCAAAACGCATGAAGCCCTATTTCGTCAGCTGTAGAGTGGAGAGAGGAACCTTTTACGATAGAGACGACCTTCAGGTGCGTATGTCCGTAGCCATAGGATGGCAAAGCGATGAGAAGCGCTTCGTGCGAATCGACGAGATGGACGCCAATGGATGCACGACCAAACCAATACCGCCGACTTTTCCCGATGAAACCTTTCACCATGAATGACGACGGTTTCATCCTTCCTGGTGAAAAGTTCGTTGTACGTCCTCCTGCTCTTGGTCTCTTGCAGCGCAAACACATAATGCGACTAGTCACATCGAGGAGCTCATGGAGAGCGGCACTGGAAGAAACTCTTTTCACGTTGTAGGGATAAAGTAGGAAACTGTCGCCGGGAGTGAAGGGAGTGCTATAATGGACCGAAATCCGAGGCCCTCTGCGCAAATTTTCTCCGCCTCTTTCAGGTCGCCATACCGTCTGACGCCGGAGACGGCTGGGCCCAGTGTGCGGGTTACTGAGGGTATTTCATGCAATCTTAGCAAGCTTGCTCCCTGTAGTCCCAAAACTGCCTTACCAAATCTCATGCTGAGTCTTCACTATCGTGGAGGGGCTGGATCAGAGGGGCTTTACCTATCGTTTCCGATCACTTTGTACCATGCTTGTCTGAATAGGATCTGGCTTTCAAGCGTCAAACCCTGACTTTCAAACTGGGCAAACTCGCATTCCGTCTTCACCTATCTAGGTACCTCAAAAAGGCCTCAGGTATCAAGTCAGTCACGTTTACTCATGAACCAATCAAAGTCTCACAAAAATGTCTGTTTCTCGGATTCCATCTTCACTCATCCTGGAACAATTTTTAAACCTCCGCAATGGTTTTTTAATTCATAGCTGTTTTGAGCGCACTAGGCCTTTTAGAAGGAAATCAATACTCGTCTAGCATTTCGTAAGAGTTTATACTTCTGGTAGGACAGCTGTTGAATCAGCGATGGTCTGATTCAACAGCTATACTATCAGAAGTAATTGTTGTTAGATGGAATGTTGTCACTATTGACATAAAAAGACTTTATGAATGCAAAAAAAGGCTCTCTGCCAATTCTTGTATCGAATGGAATCTGCAGCAATGCAGTACTTTTGTATTGAAGGACCAAGTCCCAGTTTCCCGGGTGCCTGAACTTCTCTCCGAATTCCCACGGCAAGCGGCGGAACGCGGCGGCTACCTTTTCCTTGCACTGGAAATTCAAACCTTTCCTTTCAAAGCGCGCAACTGCGCGACATCGGGTGCGGCGAATGCGACGCCGTTTCCGGGGAGAAGACACCGGCTCCCAGTTTCCAACAACAATGATGTATTAAAGGGCTCGATATTCGGTGGGAAAAATCCCCAAAGGTACCTGGATGAAAGTTGCTGTAGGCTGAGGGGCGGGGCGAGGACCCAAAATTGGAAAAAAATGGTGAGTTGTTTTGATTACGGGTTAACGTCAGACGTAACTTGTGTTGATTGCAGTCATATGACTTGACACGGCGTACTCACTTATTAGTACTGGCTACGATGGTGCTTATGCTGCTGGTGGTTCAGGTGAGTCCTTTTTTCAAATTCGTTATATCCCATGTGATCTTGCTGCCCACGAGGCTAGCTCCGACTAAAATTACGGTATATTGTGCTTAACTATAGGACCTTCAATGGCATTCGATGTCAGCAAGACCTGAACAGCTACCTCTCTCTAGGCTTTTATTTACAACAAAACTATAAAGTAAAAGATCATGGACGTTGATCAGTCTAGTCTAAGAAGGCGTTCCACCCCACATCAACTTCCACTCAGAATCGTAGGGCTGTATCGAATGCATATTTAGCATACACAATGACATTCGGTGGCAAGCCGATGTACAAACCCGTGCTTTTATCCTCCCAGACGAGTCTGGAACCATTTAACCGTCCCCGGAGGGCTGGAAGGCTTGGTTTGCTTAGTCGGGCATCGATCCGAGACTCGAAAAAGTGACCATGCGTGTGTGATAGTGTGTAGCTTACCACTACACCACCGCGGCTCCCACAACAAAATTACAAAACCGAAAAGTTGAAATCAAGAGAACTCCTGCTCCCTGATCCAGAGACCCCCGCCTGTGACGAATGAAGTATAAGCTTCTGGCTTCCCTCTCCTTTCGGGAATCCTTCTCGGGATACCCTCAACACTGAGTGTCTATTGGGCCTATGCAGTGACTTGGTTAGATCAGTCGGTGTACCACGCAAAGCTCCTATCTTCTCGGACGAGTCTGACGAGTACTAATAGTTACCTGACCCCGAGGCCATTGAATGAATGCATGGTTGGTCTAGGCGGACGCCTTACGGAAACCAATCTCCGGGCCAACCCTGTGTGATGTGCGCCACTTACCACTACATCACCTTCGGACGGCGGAATAGTTAGTTCCAGACATGGCTAGCTTTCCAATCGGCCCCCTAATTCAGTCCAAACGTATAGTGCATAACTGGATAGTGCCGACACAGACCTGTGAAAAGGACCAACCCCCTCTCCCCTCTCCCAAATCCCCGAAATCCCTCAACCTACATTCTCCTCCGGTACCCGAATGTGGATGGGTAACCTCAAAAACGGAACCGTAGGTTCCACATGGTCAGCCTATAAAAAAGAAAAGGCGATGTTTAGTGGTGACCCACCTCAGAATTGGGTGATGCCAGCGAAGTCGTAATCATAAGAGACCAAAGCTCACCCTTTTGCAAGCTTAGAAGCTTGCAAACGTGTGAGCTCCGGTCCCTCATGGTTACGACTTCCCTGATATCACCCGATTTGCCCCATTATGGCTACTTCCGTCGCTGCGTCTACCATATTATCATAATCACTTGCAAAAGTTTGGTTTCAAGTGGTGGTCTCGAACGATGGACGGAGAATAAGTCATGTGCAGGCAGGGGATGCAAAACTTTGCGTTTCGGGTCTGCACAGATTTGAAATGCGAAATTGTTACCCAATGGAGGAGTGGTTTCACTAAGTCAACCGTGAAATTTCTTTTTATGAGACGAGTTTTTTCAGGGAGGACGCCTCCAAGCTTTGTGATTAGTCCTTTGTGAGCTAAGAGAACGTGAAAAAGACGGGTTATACAAATTACAATTCAACCATCAAAGCGTTGCCATTATCAAGGGAGAGGGCTTCCGGAGGATGGCAGGTCTGCGCTTTTTTCCTGATCACTGTTGTGCGCTAGTCACACAAAACGTGCAGTCAG